CTCTGCTGTATCCGTTTTCACCTTGCACGCACTCAGGTACTCTTCACCGGCATGATATATGGTGTTAGAAGGGATTCATTGAATACGTTGTGTATTTTCCATCCTGGTGGTAACTTCAACTTGTAGGCAGAGTCACCGATTTTTGCCAGGATAGGGAAAGGACCGGTGCATTTGTCAGCGAGTTTTCGCTTAGGTCGAGGGAGGTGGAGATTCGTTGTGTCGAGCCAGACTTTATCATGTGTCTGATAAGTGTGTGCCGGGCGACGGTGTTTATCATACTGTTTTTTCATGGCAGCTGCCGTTTTTTCTAATACGACCTTTGTTTTGGCATGGATTTTTTCAAGAGTCTCAGCAAAGTCTGTGGATGCGGGTGTCGTTGTTTTATGATGGGTTGTTTGGGCAACATGGGGGTGTCACCCATGGTTGATGAAGAAAGGTGTCAGGCCTGTGGTGGAGTGCACCCTGTTGTTGTGTTGAAAGGCCGCGAGTGTGAGCCATTCGACCCAATCATCCTGTCGGTAGTTGATAAATAGTCGAAGGTATTTTTCAACTTCTTGGTTTGCTCGTTCGGTTTGTCCGTCAGTCTGGGGATGATAGGCTGTGGATGTGTTTCGTTTTATATGCAGCAATTTGTATAAGTCGTCGAGGAACTTCGACACAAATTGCAGTCCTCTGTCAGAAATGACGACTTGTGGCATTCCGTATTTGGCATATACCTCGTCTCGAAGGATTTTCGCCCACCCCTCTGAAGTCAATTCCATCGAGCATGCAATTGGGATGATTGTTTTAGAGAACCGATTGACTATAATGATAATCGCGTCATAGCCGTTGCAGTCTGGTAGTCCTGTGATCATGTCTACGGAGATATGGGTCCAAGGTTGTGATGGTATCTCATTCAGGTGTAAGGGGGCTGATCGTGGCTGTGTGGATGTTTTTCCCCTTTGGCACATTTCGCATGCTCTGACGTATGATATGATGTCATTGCTGAGTTTAGGCCACCAATAATTTCGAAGGACAAGTTCCTTCGTTTTGGCAATCCTGGGATGTCCTGTGGTGGCGTGGTCATGACATGTTGCAATAATTTCCCCGCATAGGCTTTGGACCTGTGGAACATAAATCCTCCCGTGGTAGTGGATCATTCCGTCTTCTTTTGTCATTCCTCGCTCATGATTGAGGGAGGTGGCGATTCTCTGATCCCATTGGTGTGTGTCTCGTGTTGCGCTTTTGATGCGTTCGTGCATTTCTTCTTCCGTTGGCATTATTAGTGCTCGGAAATGTTCAGGGCGGAGGATGGTGACTCCGTCATTATCGTTTCCCCCTTGATCGTGATCTGCCCGACGGGAGAGGAGGTCGGCCTTCTTGTTAGCGACCCCGGCTTTATGATGGAGTGTGTACTGGTATTGAGCGAGCTCGGTAACCCATCGAGCCTGGTGACGATTCAGCTTCTGAGGCTGACGGAAATATCGAAGATTTTGGTGGTCCGTCCAGATTTCAAAAATGTCTGTTGCTCCAATCAGGTAATGCTGCCACTCTTCAAGGGCAAGCATTATCGCGAGTAACTCCTTGTCATAGATCTCGTAGTTCCTTTCAGTGACGGTGAGCGCCTTCGAGAGGAATGCAACAGGGCGCCATTTCCCATCCTGTTCTTGGGATAATACGGCGCCTATGGCTCCCTCGCTGGAGTTGGCTTCTACTCGGAACTTCCCTTCCTGGGATGGAATAGCGAGTATTATGTCCTCCGCTAATCATCGTTTTAAGTCTTTGAAAGCGAGTTGTTGTGGAGTTCCCCAGTGCCATGGGGCATTACCAGTGAGTTGTGTCATAGGGCGAACGATTCTGCTGTAGTCTTGTATGAATCGCCTATAGAAATTGGTGAAACCAAGAAAAGATTGTAGCTCCTTTTTCTTGGTGGGGATCGGCCATTCTAGTACCCCCGCAACCTTTATTGGGTCCATGCGAATGCTTCCTTCACTAATGATCACCCCGAGGTATTCGGTTTCTAACACCTCGAACTCGCATTTCTCTGCCTTGAGGAACAGTTTATGCTTCCTCATGAGGGCGAGTACTTGTCGCACCAAGTCGCGGTGCTCTTCCCTTGTCTTAGACATTATGAGGATATCGTCGAAATAGATGGTCACCTTCCCAGTGGCGATGAGTTCTTTGAATATGTCGTTCATCATCCACTGGAAAGTGGCTGGGGAGTTGGTCAAGCCGAAGAACATGACGGTGGGTTCGAACAACCCTCGGTTGGTCCTGAACGCGGCCTTCCACTCATCCCCTTCCTTGATCCTGATGTTATTATACCCCCATCGGACGTCGAGTTTAGTGTAGTACTTGGCTCCTCGGAGTTTGTCCATCAGTTCTGAGATTAGCAGTAGCGGGTATCTGTTCTTGATGGTCATCTTGTTTAATTTGCGATAGTCCTGTACAGGTCAGAGTTTGCTGTCCTTCTTCTTTACGAAGAAGAAGGGGGAAGCCATGGGAGACTTCGACGGTCGAATCTGCCCGGAGGATAAGTTCTCGTCTAAGAACTTATCGAGCTCTAATTGTTCTTGACTACCGAGAGGATAGGTTTTGCAGTCAAGATTCACATTGGCATTGGGGATCAGTTTGATGACGTGATCCCAAGGCTTTGGGGGTGGGAGCTCGTCGAAACTCTCTTTCTCGAAGAGGTCCTGATAATCGCGTGCCCACTCCGGTACCATTTCTTTGAAGGTTTTCTCCTCCTTCCCTTCGTGAGCCTTGGCGGCTAGATTGTTGGCGTGATGTACTGCCTGGATGTGGATCTCCTTCTGTAGGTCAATGGCCAAGATGGTTTCACCATCCTCCATCTCCTCATCCCACCAGTCCTCCAGGTCCTCATCTGGCAACTCATACGGGATCTTTCGGCACCGACATCATGCAAATATGAGCCTCCCAGTTTTCCAGTTGATGAGCGGGTTATGCCGAATCAGCCAGTCATGTCCCAAGAATAGCTCCTTGGTGCCGAGGTCTGTCACAGCTAGGTCGATCCTTTCGGAGTGGTCTCCGATGGTCAACCTAAGCTCGACAAACTCTGTGATTGAACCGGCTTGATTTTTTGTTCCGTCGGCATTGTATACTGGTATGGGAGAAGTGGTGGTCCTGGTGGGGAGATTGTGCTGTCAGACGAAGGATCGATTGATGGAACTTCTGGTACAGCCACTGTCAATCAGGGCACTGACCGAGTGGGTTGTTCGATTGGTTAGGGTCTCAATTTGGGCTTTGGTTGTCAGGTCCCTTCCCGGGGTTTTGGTTCGCCTGATGAATTTTGGTGGGCCTTTCAACTCATCTAACCATTCCAGTGCTCGGCTTCGTTTAGCATTCCATAACCTGTTTACGGCATCCTCTGTTGCTTCTCCTGTCCTAGTCTGATGTATCCATCCCTGTAGGACGGCCTTTGCTGCGCTGTCATCCACTGCTTCTTTGATGGCTCTCCACATCCATTTGGTCTGGAATGGTTTGAGCCATTGCTTGGGGCCCTCTGCCCCTGTTCAGCCCATAGGCGCTTGAGTTTTTCTTTTCGACTCTTTCAGGTGTGCTTGGTCAACTGGTATATTCGAATGTGCATATGTTACTACAGAAGTAGCGTCAGTCTATCCAGCGGCTGAGACAGGCACACCATTAGATTCTTTGGCCAATCCAGTGGAGTCGTTCACTGGTTGGCCTCGTCTTTTACTTCCTCGATCTTCGTCTCCTTCCCAAGCTCCTCGTCTTCTTTCTGTAGCTCCGCTATCTGCGCCCGTATGTCTTCCCGGGTTCTCTTCTTCTTGGGACAGTCCTTGGCCATATGCCCCTTCTGTCTGCACATGAAGCACTTTCCTTCCTTCTTCAGCCGGTCTATGTCCATGGGTTTTCCTGCTCCGGTATACGTCGTTCCAGTTCCTGTCTTCTGACTTCCATAGCTGGGTGTTTGAGTGGATCCTGATGATTTCCTGGCAGTTTGCTCCGACTTGTTCGGGGTTGGCGGGGCTGGCTTCTTGGAGTATTCCTGCAGCATCATTGCCTCTGCTTTCTGCCTTTGTCGCTCCTTATACATCTCGATGATTCGTTCCTTCCATTCGTCATATCCCACAGGCATCAACATCTTGACGCCCATGGCCGAGATCATTGTGAGGTATGAGGAGGAGACCCCTCGCTTGAGCACTTCCACCATCCTTCCATCGTTTGCAGTGTCTTCCCTGATCCTCGCGAGTTTGGCGAGTTGCTCCAATTCATCAAAGTAGTCTGTCGCCGCCTTATCTCCCATCTTGTACTCCTTGATCTTCTGTTTATGTACCTCCTGGACTGCGGGGTCAATAAACTTGTCATTTAACATTCGTTTAAACACCGGCCATGAGGGATATCGGTAATGTTCCCTGGTGGCAGATCGGAAGTTTGGCGAGATTAGGATCCACCACGTTTTGGCTTTGTCCTCTAGATAGGAGGTGGCGAATGCAACCTTGTTCATATCGGTCCCAATGTATCCAATGTAGACCTCGAAGTACTGCTCACAGTCCACTAGGAACCGATCGATATCATCGGAGGCCCCTTTGAAGGGGCGAGGCTTTCGAAGGAGATCCGGGTGACATTGCAGGATGTTAGCATTATGTGGGAGTAGTCCCATCGGGTTGGGCCAGTCGCTGAAGGGTGGCTGGTTCCATTCCGCAGGTGGTCCCGGAAAGGAATGTAGCGAATTGTCGTCGGCGACTGGACTACCCTTTGGGTCGACTATTCGGATGATAACTCCATCTCGTACTGTGAACCCGAGGCGGTCCGCCTCGGGATCATCTCGAATGGGGTCCTTCCCGCTCGATTCTGCTTGATCAGGGGGTGGCTGTCCCCCGAGGAGTCGGCTTCCCCTGCCAGTCCAGGGGTTTTGAATTGTGGCAGGCCGCCATGCCGGCCGAGTCCTGGTTTGGGCGAGTCGTGAAGCCGTACTTCGGATCGAGGGGCTGATCTCGGCCCGACTTCGGATCGAGGGGGCCGTGTAGACTGCTCGTCTTGGTTGCAAGGGAGGGGTGCGCGGCATTGGTGCTGGCGTCTTTGGTCTGATCGGAGATTGATATGGAGGTATCAGCATAAGTGGGTCTTCTGGGTGCCGCCTGCCATATTCCTTCCATGCGTATTCGGTCGCAGCATACTGTAAAATTCTTTCTTTTTCAGCCTCCTCTGTATACCGGTATTCAAGTCCTAGTGACGTTGCTTGCCAGCGCATGTCTTGCCATAGAAAGTTCCTCCCCTGCTCGTACAGCTCCTGGTATTCCCTATTCCTTGCTCTCTCCATTTCCTCCTTCAGGGCTTCTTCGTCAGTGTCTTCTCCTGCTCATTCCATTCGTTGCTGGTATGGGTCATCACTGTCCTCGTCGTCCTCGTCGTCACCCTCGTCCCTGCTGTCCCCTCCCTTGAGGAGGGAACAGACGGGCTGGTCATAGATGGATGGCACGGCTGGTCGAAGGGTCGTCGGAGACCCTTCTGTTGATTTGGGTGCTGGGTCCAGCATCCTCACGACTGCTGGTTCGGGCGATGGGAGGGCTCCTGAGTCGACTATAGCGCGTTCCTCCTCGCGCTCTCATCTCCTCCAGTTCTCGGCTATAGAGGCTGAAGTGTCGGTTAAATTCGGGATTAAAGAACTGTCGAATGACTTGACTGCCCAGGAACCACTGGAGAGCCCTGTCGGAGACGTGGGCATTGTCGGGTACTCGGAGCCCATAGGCTCCGAGGATGGAGTCGGCGTCCGAGGAGATGGTGTCGGTGTGGGCAGGATATTCGGGGGTGGGAGGTCGGGGTCCTCCCGTCCTTCCTTGCCTGATGGCCTCATCCCAGCTGACAATACTGGCCAGTCCTGTCCATGGGTCGTCTTCTGAGTCAGGCTCCCTGAAAGGAGACCCGGAGTCGGTATGGAGCTCGTACTCCCTGGGGGAGGCTGACCCCATCCTCTCGACTTCCTCTCTCCTTCTTCATGCTCTTCCCTGTCTGTCGTATTCTGTGGCCTCATACTGCTCTCGGGCCTCTTCTCATACGTAGTCGGCAAGCTCTTCTTGGGTTCGCCTGATCTCTTCCTCTCAGTTCTGGTTCTGCTGCTGTACTGCCTCATCATAGTTGAAGGGAACGGTAAGATCTCAGTCTGGGAATATGCGGTGTATGAATCTATCTTGCGCAGCTCGTCCCCTTTCACTGGCGGTTCCAACCTCAGGCTCGCTTCCCACATGGAGATGCCGGTAGGGATCTCCTGCTGCAGAGATGGCAATCTCTGCATTCGCATAGTCGGGGTGGATGGTTCTCCCATGCGGGTCGTCAACCCCCAACCTGCTGATGGACTGGCTGGAGCTGGAGTTGGGCTCGGTGGAGGTCTCAGGGGGGTTCTGGGGGGAGTTGGGACCTTCGCGGGGTCCTGTAGCCATCCGAGTGGCATCAAGGGAGTCCCAAGCACGGTTTCCAATCCCTGAGGAAATTGAGGAGGCGGGATGCTCGGGGGAGCCTGCTGGAGTGACATAGTTGGAGACCTCCATGGACTCCTGAGCAACATTCGTCGTCCATGGGTTCTGGAACCCTGTGAGAGCAGGGTGGCGGTTTCGGCCGTGTCGTCGAGGGGGGTGCTGAGGTCCTTCTTCCTTGTGAAGGCTCCCCGGATCTGAGTCGTTAGTCCCAGTTTCTGGTATGGGTCCCCCTTGCGGGAAGAAGGACGTTCTGGCAGAGGGGGGGATGTCATGGAAAGGGAGGTCAGGGGTTACGTTGCATAGGATTTGTTGGATGTGTTGGAATGCTTGATAGTGCCTGACTATCCAAGCTGCTACTGATTGTCATTCTCGACAAAGAGTGATGATGGCTAGAAGTCCGAGTAAAGTTCCAATGATGGAAGCGATGAGCTCGAAGAAGTCGTGATTCAGGTCCGCGGTTGTTACTGGAGGCATTCGGTTTCTCAGCACAATTGGGCTTGAGAAAGGGAAGGGGAAAGCTTCAAGCTAATTGTTAGGCTCAAGCGTCACGTGAACAGATACATGTGATAAACAGGTGTTCCTTCGCACTTCGAGGAATCACCTGAGTTCACTTGGTATGTACCCGTCTGATGTGACCCAAGGTCAAAAGAAGACTCAAGATAGAATGGCATGTATAAACTTTAGCTCGAAGCTGGGGTTTTACCAGCAAGAGCATCAGTCTTAAATACTATACAGATGGTCCTAATTATATCACTACTTATTATGTCTGTCTGTGTCCATGGTACTCGTTGTCCTTGAGCACCAAGACTGTACATAAAAGGGGGATTGTGTTGTTGCTAGGCTTGGTGGTCATGACGACTTGGGAGTCGCTAGTTGTGCTGACTAAGCTTTCCCACAGTCTTGTGCCCTTCTGACTAAGCGTAAATAGGGGTGAAAGGCGAATGTCAATGGAAAAATAAGGAAAATCGTAACACATTGGTGATTTGGAAGATTGAATATACCCACTGGATAAGTTCTCATCCAGGAACTTATCAAGCTCTATCTGTTCATGATGTCCAAAGGAGTACATCTTGCAATCA